CCCTGCCTCTTTCTGCCTCTCCTCCACCCCCACCTCGCCTCTTCCTGTCCCTGCTCCACTCCCTCCCTGCCCCCACTCCACCCCTTCCCCCAAATCCCCGCTCCTGCTCTGCCCCCGCCCTACCACCACTCTGCCCCTTCCCCCAAGCCCCTGACCTCTCCTCTCCCGAGCAATCCCGGGAGCCGGTGAGGCGGGGTGGAGCAGAGCAGGGCTGGTCAGGGCTGGCGCTTCCACTAGACGACCCTAGGCAGTCGCCTACGGCGGCAGGATTTGGGGGGTGGCATTTTGCCACCCTTGGCAGAAATTCGGCGGCGGGGGGTCCTTCCGCTCCGGGTCTTCGGCTGAAATTTGGCGGCGGGTCCTTCACTCACTCCGGGACCCGCCGCCAAAGTGCCCCGAAGACACGGAGCGGAAGGAACCCTGCCGCCGAATACTCAGAGGAGGAGCACTACCGCCTAGGGCGGCAAAAACCCTGGCGCCGCTCCTGGGGCTGGTGGCGCTGCTGCTGGCCCCGCACCACCCAGGTCTCACATCCCCCTGAAGCTTGGGGCCCCCCAAAGCGCGGAGCCCAGGGTGACTGCCCCAAACCATCCAATGGAGGTGCAGGCGGCTCTGGAGGGGAGGAGTGAGGGCATGCAGGCTCGGGGAAGGGGGCGGGAAGGGGTGGTGTGGGGGCAGGGTCTGTGGCAGAGCCAGGGGCTGAGCAGTGAGCACCCCCCGGCTCCAGCCCCGCAGTCGGTGCCTATACAAGGAGCCGCATATTAACTTCTGAAGAGCCGCGTGTGGCTCCAGAGCCACAGGTTGGTCACCCCTGTGCTATAGCATGCCATAATCCAGCACAGACAGACTGTTCTTCCAGACACCTTGGCTGCTCAATGTTATGCATACAGAGATGTGGTGAGTAACATGTAGGGTCGGCCGTATGAAGTAATATTGCAAGTGCAGAGGGGCTTGATACCACAATCTGTCTATTGCTGTATGTGTCCTATGAAATGAAATCAGTTTGACTAGGACTGGCAGAAAAGAAAGGTGAAAATACTGCTGCCCTTTGAGCAATAGTCACACTCAGGGCCTTTCAGGGTGGTTTCCATTTGGAGGAGAAATCCGAGAGACAGAGTCATTACGTGCACACAGCCTCTTTCTGTGATCAGCAGTAGGAACACACTACAGACCGGCAGAAAGCCCTGTCCCATGCACCCAGTCATCCCAGCGTCATGGTGTCTTAGGGCTGGTCTGCACGTAAACATTAGATCGACCTAGCAGCATTGCTGAGAGCTCTGAAAAATTCACACCCCTGAATGCCGTAGTTAATCCGACACAACGCAGTGCAGACATGGCCAGGTCAGAGTGTGTGTATGTTTGGGGGCGGGTGTCACTATTGAAATCTCTGCACCAGCAGTGGGCCCGGAGAGGTGTCTTTAGGAGCCATGGGGAGAGAGTGTCAGTCACAGCTCCTACCGTGTCAGGCCACTGGGGGATTGTGGGGTGTCTCATGTGAGGGGTCATGGGGGGCCCCTAGCAAGGTGCAGGACACCCGCCATGTCAGTGGGGTCCCATGGCAGTGTAACAACGTGGGAATTATCTGGAATATTTCTATGAATCCTCTGCATGCCTCAGTTTCCCACTATACTTTGCACTGCTACCCAGTGGGTGTAAAAGGGTTAAAGCTCCTCTCAGGACAGAGCTGGGGACATAATGAGGCAGGTGTGGTGTGAACAAGGCCCCAGCTGGAGAACCAGGGTGTTGGGGACCCCCCCCC